CTAGGGCCCTAGGGACGGACGGAAATGGGTGCCAGGGTAACCAGGGTCGAGAGAGAGGGGCTCGGAGGACCGCGGACCAAGGGAGGCGCTGGGGACTCTGGAAGGACTGCAGAGGATTGGGGTGGGAGGAACTGGGGAGCAGGGAGAGATGAATGGGGCTTCGGAGAACCAGAGGATCCAGGAGGGGACGCTAGGGGAATGTCGGGGGTCCTGGGCATTGGAGAGAGGAAGAACTCGGGGCCGAAGGGACCGGGAGAGGGTCTGGGAGCCTAGCACACATTCCGCTGAGGCAGCCGCTCCCGGGATCTCCCCTTTGCCCAACACCAGACCAACTTGTGTCCAGGGGCCGGGCTGGACGGTGTGTGGGAGTGAGGAGGGCATTTGTCTGGGATGAAGACTGGAGGATCTCATCTTGACCCATCCCTGTCTGCAGAGTTATGTCCCCACCGTGTTTGAGAACTACACCGCGAGCTTTGAGATCGACAAGCGCCGCATTGAGCTCAACATGTGGGACACTTCAGGTAGCCAAGTCCCTGGGGTCACCCTGACTTCCAAGGCCCCTACCCTCACCCATCCCTTGGCTAGACCCTTAGGCTCCAGGTATGCCCAGCCCATCCATCCAATCTTAGAAGGAAGGAAAATCAATTTCCTACTTAAAGCAAGAGAAACTGAGGTAGAGTTTGCAGAGACACATAGAAACCTTGTCCTGAGGGAGGGAGAAAGCCCCGTATCTGATCTTCTCAGCTGGATTCTGCCTACCTGGGAAAGTTGTGAGGAATGGATTTATTTTGGAACATGTTCCTTAGGAGGAAGGGCTGGATTTAGGAAAGGCATTTAGGATTTCTTCGGGGAGTGAGGAGCTGCTTCTATAGACAGAAGTATAGAAATCTGAGCTGTCCCAAGCCTGCGCGAGAGCTCTGCCCCTGCCCCTCCCCCTCCTCCAAAAAAAGGAGGAGGTTTTTATTTTTACTCAGCTCCCCCGGGGAGGGCTGTAGAAGACGTCAGTCAAAGCTCAGAAAGCACATGCAAAATTTTGAGAATGTGGAGAGATTTCATGAGCTTCTCAAAGACTCAGAAAAGATTAAGAATGATTACTTTTAAAGAAACCCCTAGGGAAGTGGAGAGCTGTTCTCTGCCATCTAACCTCCCGCTGCCAACGCCCCTCCTTGAAGAAACCCAGACTCCTTGATGGGTTCCAATACCTGCTCTCTTCCATCCTCTGCCCCTAGCGTCCCCTGGTCAGGATTGGTAAGGTCTCCCATTCCCTTCCAGGCCTCCCACCCACACAGGACCCTGTCTGTCCCCTCCCTCCCTGTCTTCTCTCAGGTTCTTCTTACTATGATAACGTCCGGCCTCTGGCCTATCCTGATTCAGATGCTGTGCTCATCTGCTTCGACATTAGCCGACCAGAAACATTGGACAGTGTCCTCAAGAAGGTGGGAGCCTGGGGAAGCAGGATGGCTACACTGAGGGGGACCAGAAACCAAGGTTCTGACACAACATGGCCTGGAGGAGGGAGTGATGCCTGGGGCATGGTCATCAACTAGAGAGTGTGTGAAGCTCTCCTCTTTCCCCATCCTCCTCACCCATCCACCGCTCACCCCCCACCCTTTCTTCCTGGAAGTCAGTCCTCAGAGCTGGATCCAGCATCTAGGGGGAGATAGAGGAAAACAAGGAGAAGTACTCAAGGGATTCCTTATCCATCCTTCCCATCTCCTTGGGTGTGGGAGCCCCAGCTGGAGGGGATGGGAATGCTGCTCCGGGAGCTCAGAAGAGCCCTGTGGTCTCCTCTTGAGGCCTCTATTTCCAGGAGAAAAGCCCACGTTGAATGGACAGAAGTCAGCTAAAGCAGCCCTAGTTTCCAGGTGGAGGAAGGGCAGATTGGTCTGTTCCCAGGAACAAATTTGGGACAGGGGGCGGGGATGGGAAGGTTTCAGACTGCTAGACCCTTCATGGCCACTGAGGTAGAAGCAGGGCCCCTGACCCTAGAGCCCCTCCCCAGACCTTTCCTCCCTC